GGGGGCCTGGGCGTGGGGGGAGCCGGGCAGGGGGAGGACAGGGAGCGATCATGCTGAAAAAGCTGCCCTGACTTTTGCAAAGCAGAGAGCCGAAAGCGCTCAGGCTTTGGGGTGCAGAGGGGACGGGGAGCCCAGGGCCATCCCTGTCCTGCCCAGAGGGGCTGGTGGAGCCAGGGCCAGCGGCTGAGCTGGTGTCTCTGGGCAGGTGGGCGACGGCCCCGGGCTGGTGGGCAGCGTGGCTCACAACCTGCAAACCGCCTGCGCCTCCGGCATCTCCAGCGTGAAGAAGGTCCCAGCCGTGGCCTGGGATGCGGCAGAGGGGTTGATCCTCTTCACCCCGCGCAGGCTGTCCAAGGCCATGGAGACGGTGGATGCTCTCGGGGGGACCCTCGTCAGTGCCCCCAAGCATCTGCTGGGTACCCTGTACAGCTACGTACCGGTGAGTTTGTCCTCAGCCAGGTCCTGTCCATCTCCAGGAAACCCCATTTTGCCCAACCTCCTCCTGTGAGCACCCCAGAGCTGGGTGATGCCCGGAGGTACCAGAGGGCAGAGGTGGGGTGCTGTTGGGACACCTCAGTCCCACCCTCCTCCTGAGTATCTCTCGAGCTGTGACAGGCTTGTCAGTGAGTGTCCCCCATAGAGCCAGCAGGTCGGCCGGTGGTGGCACCTTCGCACAGTTCATGCCTGAGCCGGAGTGCAACCACAGACTCCTGGGAAAGCAAAAGTTCAGGCTGGCACTTTCCTTCCCTAAACTTTTCTTCCTTGAACTTTCGTTCTCCCCACCCCACTGTTCCCCTGGAACCATTTCTCCACTGCAGCTGCCCAGGAGTCCCTCCACTGGGGACCCCTCTGCGGACCAAACTGGCTTGTCCTGTGGTCCCCCCAGTTTTAGAGGGGCTGTGTAGCAAAGGGACAGCGGAGCCGGCAGCCCAGCCGGGCGCTCACCTCAGCCTTCAGCTCCGCAGGCAGTCGGTGAAGCAAGAGGAGGCAGCCGGGGGCAGCAAGCCCAGCCCAGAGACGGAGCAGAAGGAGGAGGACACTAAGCCAGCCGCCCCCTCCACAGAGGAGAAGTCCCAGCTGAGGGGTGACTGGCGGCTGTACCGCGGCCATCACCCCCTCTCCTTCCTGGGGCTCGAGGACCCCCTCTTCCTGCGGCACAACCTCTACCGCAGCCCTGCCTTCGAGCCCGAGTGCCCGCTCCCCCAAAAAACCTACACCCCAGCCTTGAAGAAGGACTGAGCTGGTGGGGAGGACCAGTGCAGCCCGACCCCCTCTAACCCCTCCCAGCACGCTTTGCCCGGGCCCCCGCCAGCCGCCCGCACGCACCCCTGTACCGGGACAGGAGCTCAAAGTGGTAGACACGCCATGGGATGTCTTCTCCTTCTGGAGTGCATCGGGGCCAGGATGGGGGAATAAAGGCATCCCAAAGCTCTCTTGGTGGAAGGAGAAGGTAGGGGCAGGTGGGACCAGAGGGGACCAGAGAGGCGAAGGAGATGCAGAAAGAGCAGTGAAAAAAGAGAAAAGGGGACCAGCCAGGCCTTGCATGGGGTCAGCCTGATCCCTGTGTGAGCAGACAGTGTGGACTTGGATGGGCTACACATTGAGAACGGCGCTGAGAGAGCAGGGAGGACAGCAAAGCCATCAAACATCACCATAGCAAGCCCAGTTCCCCATCCTTCCTCCCTTCATCCCCCCTCACAGGGCCCATCCCTGGCCATAGATCGCTCCTCCGTGGAGGAGCTGAAAGTCCCCACCATCCAGCAGGACTCATGAGTCAGAAAGCCGTGGTGGTGGGACAGATGGTGGGGTCAGGAAGAAGACTGGTGACAACAGGTGGAGCTCCCAGAGCCCCTCTCTCCCACAGGACCACCCGGCTTCCCGCAACACCTAGCTGTGTCCACCGCAATAATAAACCTTCCCGACCCGCTGCTCGCCCCATCTGCTCGGCTGCTTTATGAGAGAGAGCCACCGAAATCAGGGAGCGGCGTGGGGCGAGACACCCAACCCAGGGCCGAGGGAGCCGGGACGGGAAACTCATCCTCGGGTGGCTGCCACGGGGACAGGGGGTGCTCGTGCCCAGCACAGGACGTGTCTCTTCCCATGCCCCGAGCACAAATTCACAGCCCCTAGGAGCAGGGGGCTTCCTGCCAAAGACGATTTATTGCGTTTTCAGAACACAGCAGAGAAATCGGTGTCCGCACTGCACGCACAAACCCAGCAGGCTGCTTTCCCAGGCGCACCCGGGGAAGGGTCTGGGGAGAGGCAGGGAACAACCTCCCGGCAGCAGAAGGGTTCGGCGATGAGCCCAGCGACCCCTTTCCCCACCTCCCGTCCTCCCCGGGGACAGGCAGCCTTACAGCAGGAGCAGCTGGGGAAGGCGCCCGGTGCGATCCTCGTCCCGGGAACGAGCTGTGCGCTCGGTTTTTTCCCAGGCAGGGCCTGTACGGTGCTCGCACAAGGACAACTGCGATCGCCGAAAGGCTGTGGGAGAGAGGACCATGAGCAGGACGGTTCAGAAACAAGGCGGGTGGGGTGAGAAGCACCAGCCCTCGCTGAGGTCCTCCAAGGTCAGCCAGCGCCACGGGCTCTGGGACACTCCGACGCAGCGATTCACACATGGGAATGGCCACTGGCTCCCTGGCAGAGAAACCCCCACCTTGCCAGCTCATGGGTGCTTGAGGGTTGCCGGAGAGGACCCGGATGAG